ATCCATGTCTCTCCATTTTAGAGACAAGCATATCATGTGGGACAGTGTCAAACGCCTTTGAAATTGAATTAAGTGTCCAGGTATTAAAGCTGAGTACATAATAATGCTGGAATGTAGGAATGTTTTCCCCTCATTGGGAGGGAACACTAAACAGAGGATTAATAACATGGTTCTGTATACCAAAGTTCTTTATAGACTCTTTATAAAAGAAAGAAACCATTTATGTCACTTCTTAATCCTATGATACAATGCAGATCCATAAGCAAGAGAGATGTTCTGCTCTGTATGTGCACAGACAACATGTCAGAGGAAGTGGTCCATTATTATAATGTCTCAGCCAAACTGGATTGTAGGGCTAGGAAAGCCACTGTGAGAGGAGTAAAGGGAACTGAGGAATGTCAGAAAGGAAGTATATAGGGCTGAAAGTGTGTAGGAGAGGTTTATCCAGTAATTCTGAGGCAGTGGCTGAGGTAGTAGAGGATAACAACTGAAGAGTGCTGGAGAAACAACTGAGGAGGGATTTTTGTCCCTAAATGCTAAAATCCATCTATAATATGAAAAATCCAAGTTGATTTCATATGCCCTTACCCACCTGCTGTTTATAGTGCAGGATGTGAAGGCCATCATCCTTTATAAGGCTGCAAGTTCTAGACAATTTGTAAGGATGTTAGATCACCATATGGGACGTAGACAATGGTGCTGAATTAGCCCTTCCTTGCATTCACTGCAAGAGTCATAAATTCATCTAAGGTGACAAAATGACACAAGCATGAAGCAGGTGAGATGAGAATTGTGTTCAGAAGACATGTACTGACTATATGTCCAGCAGTCTGGATTTTGCAGTATGTTGGCTGCTTTGCAGTGTCCTTTTGATGCAGGATGATCATAAACCCAGGTTAACCATGTAATTAAAAGCCTGTTTACTGCTCGTTAGGATTGCCAAAGTAGCACAGAGCAGCTACAGGCATTGCTAAAATTGGATTGTTCTGTGTCTGTATAGCTGAAATGTACATTAATCATTATCAATGTCAGTGCTTCTATTGGATCACCAGTGCTTTCTACCAGAAGTAGTGTGTTCTCTTCAGGGATTTTGTTGCAATACTGGGAAACCCCAGGATGATATAGATTGGCTCATGTACTTTTTTTTACTCCAGTTAGATCTATTTCAATTTCTAAATCTGAAGAGCAGCAGTAGAATAGAAATGGCTGTAGCTTGCCTAAAACTGCAGTTCAGCAGACAGAGGGAATGACTGTGTTAGATATGAGTGGGGGCATCTTATGCAAAGAGTGGTTTTGCTTACAGCAGCTATAATATTGAGGGGAATTCTGTTGGAGACAAAATACTTTATTCCCTGACTGATAGTGACTAAAAAGACTGAGTACTTTCATGCATAGAGGATAAACAGTGTTTCTTGAAATTCTGAAAGAAAAATGTGCTTTTTTTTTTTCTCTTATGTATCACTTATCTGCAATGGTTTCACATTGTACTGTTGGTGTACTGCTTTCTTGCAATTTAACCATGTAATATATGTAAATGCATGTTAATGCATAGGCAGGTTTTGCCTAACAATTTTTCTGGAAGGGATGGAAACTGAAGCATAGAATTGCATTTTGCATAGTGACAGGCATCTTCTGAAGTATGGTTACCGTATAGAGAGGGGAACATGTTTGCGGCAAAGGGTGTGAGAATTACCTCATCACAAGTTTCTGATATGCATGCCCGATTGTCTCCTGCCTTCTAATCCTGTTTCAGTCAGCAGAGCTCACCGTGAGGCTCTGCATTTAGCCGTAAACCATCTTATGACTCTGTAGAACAGAACACGGGAAGTGACGTGGTTGTCCTAGAAATCAGTGGTGATCAGGGTAACTATACACTTCTCTTCAACATAACAAAGTCATTGAGAGTGATTTTTAAAAAACAAAGACTTTTCATGACAGCAAAGTTCTTTTCTATGTTGTTATCCTTGGTAATGTGTTTTGTTATTTGTATGAAAACAAGGGAAATTAGACACAGTGGGGTGACTTTCTGCTGGAGGTGGTGAGCTCCTGCTGGTGTAATGTACCATGCAATCGAGTCAGGTTTTAGATATAGGCTCTAAAAGGATGGGAGAACAGCATTGCCAGAGAAAGCAGGAGTGTGGGATATGACTGAGGTAAGACTGGGGACATGTATGTGTGCTCCAGAGAGAAGGTGAGGTTTGGAGATTTGCTAATATACCTTTTGCTCGTGACTGTGAGGAGGTGGTACCGTTGTTAATTCGTATGTCCAAAGTTTACTAGATGATTTTTGTGTACTTGAGGCAGAATCTACCCTGTAGTGTATATTAGCCAAAAAAAGTACTCTTCCCCCATGAATTACTCTCCTGTTGGCCAACCTTTTGGTATGACTGCACAAACCTGTGTGGTGGCACTGTTGTCATGAAAGGTAGGGTATCTGAATTGGGTCATGCGGATGTGCATCAAAGGGAGGAGTCTGGTGGAAGAAGGTAATAGCTGAATGTACGGGTTGACTTTAGACCCAGTCAACCTTGAGTAAGTGTGGGAAGGGTGAAAAGGGATGTGTCATTCTGCCAGGTAGTTGGCAAGGAAACAATCAGACTTTTCTGTTATTTTCATGTTCCTGACATGTTATACTACACATTTTTCTTTTTGTTTTAGCACGATAGATGCTCTGTTATATCATAGGTGTGTGTTTGGTAGGAACTGAAAGAAAGAAATAGTCTACAGGTAGATGTCTTCTTTTAAAAGCATCTGTGATAGTGCAGGATCTTAAGTGTCCTTAGCCTGCTGTTTATAATTTCTCTTAAGGAACATCACACAGAGTATTCTGTGTGGATGCATTCTAGTTTGTCCCAGGTAAAATTTGCTTAGGTGAGTTGATGCCAAAAATAGAAACTCCTTAAGTTAATTTGGCTGATATAATTTTAAGTGAATTGGAGTAACTTCACACAAACTCCTCTACTGGTGATGACTTCTGGTGCAGACATGATGAGCATCCATAGACATGGATATGTTGTACCAGCTCTGCTAAAGCTTAAAGAGGAGAATAAAATGCTTTTCCTTTGGAACATCTGATACCAAGAAACATCAGTTACCAACCAATATTAGCTATCAGTGACGGACCTGTAACAAAATCTTGGGCACCTGGATATGATGAAATCATGGATGTGGAGTCAAGCATGAAGACACAAGCATCATGACTCATCAATCAGAAGGCAAATAAGACAAACTCATGGCTTGTTGTTTTTAATCCCAGGCTTTAAGCAATGTGTGGAGCTGGCTCATAGTTCTTAGAGATGTTAGTATACTGCTTACCTGGAGCTTGCTGTGGTGCATGTGAGGATGTTGTGGCTTATTAAGAGGGATTGAGAAGAAACACATTTTTCCCCAGCTGTCCTCAACAAGAGGCCGTTGCCTTGTGAGCCTGTGCCTGCTGGAACGGATTGAGGTAGCCATGGGTTAGATGCAGTGGGTGGGGACTATGAGACTCCTGAGCTATTTTTCTTCTGGTTTTATAAAGTCTAAAGTGGGCAACATAGACAGTCCAGTTACCTGCTTCATTGTGGCTACACTAGTAAATTAGTACACTCGACAGAGGCTCTAACAGGCTGTCACCCATGCTGTTTCCTTGGTGGCACATTTTCTGACAGTTTTGCCCTCTCCCAGACAGGGTGCTCCCCAGCATGGAGTAAGAGATAGCTGGAGCTGGGGATTGTTCTCAGGAACCTATGGATGAGGCTACCTCGTTTTGGGAAATTCATCTCCTTGGATGTGGGCTGTCCCACATGTCCTCCCAGAGAACAGGCCCTGGTGTGTTTTATTTACCAGTGCTGCTCCAGTTTGAGGATCCAGCATGATCAGAAGTGTCAGTCTTTTTCTCCAAGCTGCTCTGTTGGTGTTAGCTGGGAGATGTACTGCATCTCCTGTCTTGCTGTATGGAAGTGGAGATGCCTCAGGAGTCAGAGCCTGGTCTGAGATGCGCTGTGGTCGATTCTGCACTTTTCATCCTGTCCTGTATTGAGTATTTAGTGTGCTAATGTAAGGGAGAATGAGGACCCAAGACATTTTTTTAAAAATAGTACTAATGCATTAGCCAAAAATAACACTGTTTTGTAACCAGTTCATTAAAGCAGTCCTTTAGGATACTGTATTATACATAGTAGCAGTAATTCTGTGAATAATACATGCATGGAAACAGTTCAGGGACAGTTCTTTTACCAAACAAAGACCTAAATAGAATACAGTTTTTGTAGTTTGCTGTTTACAGCCTCTGGTGAAACACATTAGAAATCCAGCTCAGATCAAATGGACCCATGTTTGTGTTCTCTGATGTAAGTCTGGTGAGACAAGCAGAATTTAGCTTGTTAGTTTTGTTTTAAAAGCCGGTAGCAGCAGGTGGAAAAATAAACTGATTAATAAGTCTAAATATTCAAAATTCTACTTACTGAATGTTGCTGGAAATACTGTTGTATTGGCAATATAACATCACATCTGAATCCTGAGTCTCATCTAGGAGCAGAAGAATTGGAAAATATGATATCAAGGTATATACATAATTTTTATTATTAAAACTTTGATAGTGAAAATCCCAATTCTTAAGCTAATTGAAATTCCAAGATGTGGGAGAACTTGAATGTATGGACCTCAAGAGGAGATATTTTTGTGGTTTGGAAATTATTTTCTTCTAATGGAAAAAATCTAAATTTCCCTCACTATTGTAGGGTGAAGATAAATCTGTCATACTTACCAGCAGATACACGCTGAAACTGGTGAAAGGGGAATGAGATTGCAGGCAATTAGAAGAACTATGTGAGGAATCACTTTACAGCTATTGCTAGGCCAATCTGACAGCTTTAGCAGACCTCATTTTTAATGAGCACTTAGTTCTACCAATGCTATAAAAACGGTATGAGTCATAATGGGTCTATTGCATTGTATTAGCTGAAACTTAAGCATTGGTAGATAAAATGAAGTGCAACTGGTTGGGAATGCTAGAAGACTGTTAATACTAACATTAATATTTCTTTATTTTTTCTACTTGGTTCCCAAACAAGAGGAGATTAAAGGCAATATAGCAAAGACCTTTGCATCCTTGCAATGCACCTTCATCCTGTGTTACCTTATACAGAGAGGAGAAAACTGAAATAAACTGTATTAGAAACCATGTAGGGAAGCAAAATTTTCACAGAAAGTTTTATGCTTTTATGTTTGCCACTTCACTTTGAACCAGTTTGTGAGATTCAGTGGCTGCATGGGAGTGTGCCAGTGGCACACTGTAGTGAGAGGAGCCAGAGAACATTTCTTCCTGTAGAGACTAAATTTGATGTCAGAAGATGTCTAATGCACAGAAGCAGACAGGAGTAGCTGTGGTGTTTCAGAGTTTCGGCCATTGTGCTCTGTTGTCTGGTTGCTGCTGCAGCAGGGACACTTACTGATAAGCAGAGACACTATGGCTGGGACTGACTTTGCTTTTGTTGCTGAGGCATTGGCCATGAAAAAGAGTACAAATTAAGAGTTCCCAGTCATCATAGGGGCTGCTGTAGCTGTGATAGGATCAACAAGTCCTGATTTCTGTACGTCATTAAGTATCACAGAAAAGGACAGTGCAGCCCAGCTAGCACAGTTTGAAACTGATGTGACTGGGCCACTTTTGTACATGCTGTTATGCAGTGTAGAAATGCAGGTTCACAGATAAAAGGAGCTCCTAAAAACCTGCAAAATCAGGTAGCTTGTCACAACTGTTCCCCATCGCATCTCTTTCCAGATATTGTATGGTAAACTGGAACACTATTTTCTCCTGAGGTGGTGTATTGACATAACAGAAGAGCTTGTCAAGGAAGAGCATTTCTCAGGTACAGTGCACTGAAGCTTCTCAGATGCTGACTGGCTCCATTTTAGTTGGAATTGGATAGATGTAAATGAATTCCACATTTGTTTTGGCAGCATGACCTTGGAGGTGGCAGGGCCAGCAGTCTTCCCACAGGATGAAACATGGAAGGAAGGAAGGGTAGAGTTGCTGGTTACTGAACGTTACATCTTGTGCCTCAAGCCCAAAGGCTGACAGATTTATCCTGTTTGTCAGTGATTGTTTACTCTTCTGTACCATCCCAAGTGAGGCATGCATGTATATACACATGCACTCAGCAACACACAGAGAAAACTTCAGATATCTGTAATTTTGAGTTGTTTTTAATGCTAATAGAGATCTTAGGAGGTTATGTATATTTCTTTTTAAACAAATTAAGCATATGATGTTTTTGAGTGGTTTTTTTTAAGCAAGAGATCATATCAATGTTATTTTTTTTTATATGAGGCATCCCTGCCCATGACAGGGAGGCTGGACTAAATGGTCTCTAAGGTCCCTTCCAACCTAGGCCAGTCTATGATTCTATGATCTGGGAATGTATGTGTATGTGATAAATGATAACTGATTAAGAGTGGCAAAAAAAATCATACTGGCCTTAAAAGTTAAATCTCTTCATTTGTATTAAGACCCTGAAAATACTAAACACAGTAGCTTGAGTGCTGATGTGGAAAAAATGATAATTAGCACAGAGTTCATGGGTGGGAGAAATCAGGATCAGTAGTCTACTGCAGTGTAGGGAGGAGAAATTCTAACCTGCTGGATGACCAGAAGACAGATGTCTAAACTGTCAGCTTGCAATCCTTCCTGTTGTGGAAGAGATACTGCAGAAATATTTTTTGCTGTGTGTATTAGAATGGGATACTGGTGTATGTGCAGCATTACATACATAACTACAGTAATTTGTGAATGTGCATGCTAATAGTTGATGCTGAGGTTTACAGATCTAAAGCACTGCTTTAAAGAACCTGCACTTGGTGGAGATTTTTATTTTTCTGATTTGAGTACCTGCCATATGCCCAGCATTATTCTTTCAATCACTGTTTTTGAAGTCATCATTTAGATGAAGACTTCTGAGCTTTCGCAGGCCCACATCCTTCTGAATCAGAACTGTCCTTCCCCGGGCCTCCTGCATTAATGTGCTATTTCCTATCTCTGCAGTGCTCCATGAGTCTGCTAGCAATCAAGCCAAGTCTAGTGCATGGCCCTCTTCTTATCTGGTGGACTTTGGGGAGAGCTGCTAGGGAATGTGATGCTCTCCTCAAGTTTAAGCATAGTTTTAGCTCAACCCTGCAGCTTTTCTGTATTCAGAGGCACAATGGAGATGGATTTTTTTGTCTATAGAGCAGCTGAATAACAAAGAAATTAGAAAGTCCTTGTGGTGTTTATCCCCATACAATTATTCTGTTTCCTTTCATGGAACAAGGTTGCTGTAATAGCATTTTTCTTTGCTGGTGGAATTGGAAATACAGAAATAAATTATGGAGATCCAGGGTGCTTCCTGCCAGAATAAATATTTAATGAGAAAAGGGATTGTGTTCATTCAGAGTCACAAGGACTGATACTAAAGTACTATATATATGTTAATTTTCATGTATAAAATATATGCTTGGACTTAAAAATGCAGTGAACAACCTCAAGGGCAAGTGTGTATTAAGTCTGTGACAGCTGTCTCTGTGGGTGAAGATAATGTAAAAGCTTTTCTGTTTTTCTTCCCAAGCCATTTTAATTTACACGCCAATCAGTCAGGAAAACAGAGGAATCTTGAAGTACTTACTCTCCAATGCAATTCTTGAAGGCCTGTGTTCTTTCACATGGTATCCAGACTGTGTTTGGTCTAACCAGCTTCTAAACTACATCAGCTTTTTAAACTCAGATTAAAAAAAAAATCTGAATAATGATACACTGGTTTCCTTTGTGTTGGAACAATGTGCAGAATTTGTACAAAACATGTCAGTGCATACAGTCATGCTAGTTAACATGAATTACCCGGTGACTGTTACAAGTTACTTGCAAATTACCTGTTATTTTCAAGTTAAAATAGGAATGAAAAGCATGATCTCAGAGTTTCCAGCTCATCTTTCCAAGGACATGGGATGCTCAGGTGAGCTTGGGCTTTGTAGAGTTCTGGAACGATTACTTGTTCCTTTAGGCAACATGAGAGACAGAATAAATCTGGTCTCATTTTCCTTACTGCTCACAACTCTTAAATAATTGGTCTGTCTGTCACAGTATCCAGGAGGGCTCGTGCCTATGTGACTTGTCCTCTGAACTGTGGGGTCCCTTACCTGCCAGCTTGCTTTGATTTATCCCCATTCTGTTTTTCCATCTCAACAGAAGCCTGTGCCTTTCTCTTCATAAGCCTCTGTGAGATACCTCTGAACCTTTGTTTGCCTGTTTTAAGTGTTTCCTACCTTCCTGAAGGTGAAGTAATTCAAAATAGTTTGCCTATTCAAACTTCTGTTTGGAATACCTATCAATTTTCCAAAGCACAGTCATTAAGGCTATCATGTCTAATGGTTGCTTTGCAAATGTCCTCGGACTGGAGAAAGATACGTAATTGGGGCCTCTAAAGCTTATGACTAACTCTCAATGCATTGCTGCGTTCAGGGGCTTATCCAATCTATAACGTGGAGGTATAAATAGACTCTCAAATCATTGCATAACAATAGAATTGCCTACAGCTCAGAATAGAGGACACTGGCAGTCTACCAGTATGGCCATTAATGCATTTTGTAAACTTAGATGACCTCTATCTGCCTCATTTTTAAAATGAAAATAGTAGTATTTTGCCTAGCTAACATTCACAGGGGAAAAACTTTTTGAAAATGCTTTCCAATTCACAGCTGAAATGGTTGCGAGACAGAAACAAATTTGTTACTGAAGAAAAATGTCGGATCTTTTACATGCAAGAATATATTCATGTGTTTACAACTAAGGGAGCAGACATACTATGTTAAAGCAGTAGTTACAGACTTAGTTCACAGCAGAATGTTAAGGATGCAAGTTACCATTACTTCCATGTCTAAGTCTCCTTTCATATGCTTCTGTTTAGATAAGAACTGTAATACAGTCTGTTCCCTTTCATTATTTCGTTTATGCAGGCACAGGCTTGCTCCAAGAAGTGGTTTATCTAGTGAGTCAGGGAGCTGATCCAGATGAGATTGGACTAATGAACATAGATGAACAACTTCCAGTCCTAGAGTACCCTCAGCCTGGTCTGGACATTATCAAGGTATGATTTATTGCAAAGCAAGTCTTTGAGCATTTGGCTATCTTTCTCCTTGGTTCCATATTCATTACTTTATTTTGTCCTGTGTCCTCGTCCTTTTCATCACTGGACTTGCTCAATTTGTTGGAATGATTCAGGGTATTATTAGGTTATTTTGCAATTGCTTTTATTAAGTATTTTTTATTAAGTATTATAGTCTAATGCTTTAGATTTTTCTTCATGTCCTAAATATCTTGGCAGTGGGTTTTCTGAATAAAAGTTTGGGGACTCCCTTGCTTATGTAGACATAAGCTGCCCAAATGGGGCAAATTTGCTTTGATTCCTTCCGTGAATTACAAATACAGAGATCTGAGGACATATAGGCCCAGTGCCTTGAATTTCCCCATTAAATCCTAGGAGATGTAACATCTGTAGATCTAGATCTACCTTGATCCGTGGATCTACAGGCTTGGCAGGTGTCGTTTGAGGAGTTCGGAGTATTCCTCATGTAAGTGTGGACAGTGAATGACAGTTCAGGACAGCTCAGGATGTGCCAAAACCTTATGTACAATAAGAAATATTTCTGTCTGCTTTACTATAGGAACTGACATCTCCACGCCTCATAAAAAGCCACCTCCCATATCGTTTTTTGCCTTCGGACCTCCATAATGGCAATTCAAAGGTAAAAATGAAATTAAATCATGCTTTGTTAACTACATTGGAAGCAGTTGTTTAAGTGCTTTGGGAAATGGAGTGGGGAGAAAGCTTTGAGTAAGATTTTTTTTTTTTCGCCCCCTGCCCTGTCATAGGTAATATACATGGCTCGCAACCCCAAAGACCTGGTGGTGTCTTATTACCAGTTTCACCGCTCCCTAAGGACCATGAGCTACAGAGGAACGTTTCAGGAGTTCTGCAGAAGGTTTATGAATGACAAGTGTAAGGAGCTGTTCTCTCTGCACACGCTGTTACACATTTATTTTCATCTCTGCATTCCTTCTGCAAGTACAGAAATGAAGTGGATAAAGGTGCATTTGTTTTGCATATACAGCAAGGAGGTTGCTACAAACAGTGCTGCATGGACTTAGATTTGTCCATGCAAACTATGGCCATTGCCTTGGAAATAATTGCCTTACGGTATTTGACCCCAGGGGGATCAGCAATGTTCCACTTAGATCAGGCAAAACTCTGGTCTGCTCTTCTAAATTTTAGTTTTCAAGTTAGTAGGTACCTTGTGAAAAGTGGTGAATACTCCCAGCATCATTTGATTTGTACCTCACTGTTAGCTACTTCTCAGGAGCCTTTCTGTTCCTTGGGAGCCTTTCTGTTCCTCAAGGTATATTTTTTTCCTGGCAATTCCTTTAATGTTTTTATTTCATCCAAAATGTCAAGGTTTGTCCCTTGCAAGATTCCAGTTAACATACAAAAATCTCTAGTTTGCCTAAGAGTATTTCAGTGAGTTGAAGTGAGCTCCTGTAAGAAGACGATTGCAGACTTCTGTCTGAAAAATACACCTCTATAATGAGAATAAAATAACCTGATTTACAACAACTCATCAGCTGCTCACCCAGTAACTCCTTCGAGTGAGGGCTGTTTCGTGACACACCTACCCACTGTGTTCCTGTTCATGGCTGCACTGTCTCCATAAACTTACAGGGAGGGCAGGCTCTGTGTTCTTACATAGCTGGCTGCCACTGGGCTTTTTGCCAATGAATTGCCACACTTTCTAGCGAGGAAGAGAAAAAAAATTTAGTGCCTTCTATTTCTCTGCAAAATCTTTTCTATGATACCTTAACGTGACACTAAGAATTCACTGTGTACCTCATGCTCTGAGAGCAGGAGCTCCTTTGGATCCAGTGCAACAAACTTTCCTTCAACCTGGTATCTGGAGGAGTTGATACTAAAGGACGTGGAGAATACCAAAGGGAGGAAAAATGTAAAAGCCTACCGGTGAAGGTTATTTAACAGGCCTTAAAAACTTTGTTATTTTCATCTGAAAGTTTGTGCAGGGAGACTAAATGCTTTCCTTCCATTCTAATGCATCTTGAGTTTTTTCTTTTGTTTTTCATGAGAATGGGATGTTGTTCTGTAGCCCATCTTCAGGAACTTCTAGATCAGAGGTGTAAAAGACACATTAGAAGGTCTTCTGAGATAGGAGGAAGGTTCTCTAGTCTTTTCCTTAGAAGTATCGCAAGAGTTACTTATATCTTCCTCTTATAGCAGCTAACTGATTTAGCACAACCTTCCAGAGTCGATAAAACATTACAGCATGTTCTGTGTCCATAATGGTGCAAATGGAGTGTTTCATAGTACTGTAAATTTAGCATTTAGCTAAATGTTTGCATCTCATGGAAGCAATGCAGCAGCAAAAAAGCCTTCACAAGAAGTCGAGGTGCTGCTAGAGGGGGTAGCATCGAGCCCAGTGAATCCTGCTCTCCTCCTTATACCTGACCATCTTGAAACAAATTTAATGCATGTTACCTATAGTGTTTGAAAGCATACAACTGGAGAGGAAATACCCTTGAATGTGCTAATTTTTTGGCTTTCTCTAAAGCTTAAGGGAGTTTCTTACATAAAGCATAGGTAAACTCCACTAACATAATCTTAGTGGATTCTTGCCCTGCACCATTAAGAGCAGCTAGGAACGCTATTTTTTGGACTGAGGTGTTAGCTTCATGTGCAAATTTCTTTAGGGGTGTGTGGCATGGGAGTAAGAAAAATGGATTTTTTTTTTCCCAATAACTTTATAAAAATTGAAAACAAGTCAACTGATTAAAAGAATTTTCCTGTGAAGGAAAAGAATTAAAAAGAATTAAAAGAATTTTCCTGTGTCCATTGCAAATGTTCCCATTACTAGAATTAAAAAATTCTTTTCAAAGGGAAAAGATAACTTCAAAATACAGTACTAAAAAGTTTAGTATTCTTCTGTGGCTGCTTTGCTGAAAAGGTAAAATTGACCAAAAAATATTGGGAAAGAATGTGAAAAACTGCTCACCATATTTGCTTAACTCCTGCCTTGTTTATCTGAAGTAATTGTGGGAATTTATCACTGGTAGCAAAGAAATACGCAGACACATTTCTCTTTTGGGGTTGTCTTTCTAGTAATATTGGCAGCAAAAGACATTCTCTAGATAATTACCACGAGTGTCTGAACCTCCGCTAGATGCACATAAATTGACTGAAGTCAGTGCAAGTGTGGACTCTATCAGAGAAGTGAAAAACAAAGGAGTAAGGATTTGGGGGGAGGGTTAAGGCTTCCAGTAACCACTGCCTCAGCAGTGCTGGGAGCAGCAGCCCTCCCGACTTAGCACTGCAGCTTCTCTTCAGGTCCTGAACCCCACACAGCAGATCTCTAGGGAACCGAAGACAAGCTGCTGGGTGGGATGCAGGAGGTAGGAGGCATCAGCTTTTCGTTTGGCAACCCTGAACGCTGCGTCTGCTCACAGCTTGTGATATATGGGAAGTACCCCATCACATCACTCTAAGCTTTTGGGAGTGCCCAACACCTCATGGCATCTGGTTGTAGTCTGGATTTGCTGTGTAACTGAGATAACGAGTAACAGCGTAACTGGAACCGTTCTGGCATATCTGCAGAAGTTGCATGGAAGTGTTCAGAAAATAACAGTAGAAGAGAATAGGTCTTAGATTTTAGCAGGGAGGAGTAGGGGACCAAAGATGAAATAATAAATAGAATATCCTGCCAGTACATCCTATGTTTTGGGGAATGACTATGAAGCATTTTTACAGGTCTATTTCCTCAATACTTGTTTAATTAAAAAGGACAATGGTTGTCAGCAATACCTTGTCCATAGTGGAAGATTCTTTATGGACCTTTTCACAAATGCTGTATCTAAGCTTGTAAGTGAAGGAAGCTACAGTGTGATGTTTTAATTGCAGGGATTCACAAAGGTTGGAGGCACTAGAAATTTGCCTTCTGCAAATTTCCACTCAGTAGTTAACTGTTGCTAATACTAAGCCACAAGAAATATAATGAAATCATGAAATATAGTGGCATTTTCAGTTGAACATTTTATCTTTATGGTAAGTTCATTTGAATATTCCAAACTGAAAGAAAAACTCTTTTTTGATTAAGTTCCTTGCTGTGCATGGCAGTGGGTCAAAACCAGACACTTCTCCTGGGGGCATAAAACACTCCAGTTAATTTATTTTTCTCTTTTTTGTTCCTTTTTGAAAAGGACTTAATAACACAAGTTATTTACCTCATGCCAATCATAATGTCTTTGTAGTAGGATATGGTTCGTGGTTTGAACATGTGCAAGAATTTTGGGAACATCACATGGATGCCAATGTACTTTTTCTCAAGTATGAAGATATGCATAAGGTAGGTTAGATGTAGCAAAAAGTTATTTTAATTACATTTAGCATGGTAGTGTTTAAAAATATATAAAGTACAGTGTGTGCTTCTTATATGCATGTTTAGACTCCCAATTATCTGATACCATTTTTAAAGCAGTGGCATTCAATAGCTTCTGCGGACTTTAGCACTTTCATAAACCTCACTTCTTAACTCAAGAATCTGACTGCATCTGTATGCACTAAACTACTCGCAGAAAAGGCAGAGGTGTGTAACTGTTCAGTGCTTGCTACACTCAGCCCTAGGCTTTCATTTAAAAGAAATGTCTTGCTGTGTCTGCTGTATCAACGAGAAAAAAAGTGTATAATCGGTATTTTGCCCTACATATTTTGGCATTTATTCTGATTATTTGGTTGTTCGTACTGTCTTCTGTGAAATAATGTTTACAACAATTAGGGATGATTGTGTAGCATAAAGTGCTAGCATAATTATTGGGTTCTTACAGTATGCTGGCTAATAAATCCACTTCATTTTAAATCAGGAGTTTAGTGGAAATGCGACATAGAACATTGGTTTCCACTTTCTATTGCAATAATATATTTTTTGAGAATTAATGAAAATATTTCAAAACGTTTATTTCACTGCACAATTAATGCAAATGTAGCAAAAACCTAGCTCCTCTCTAAACCTACAAAAAGGCAAAATCAGGATAGAACTCAATAAAGCCGGTAAATTATAATTTGAGCTTTACTGAGCCTTCTGTTGGAGTGGGATGCTAAAAGAAGACGTAATACAATCAGAATAATGAAAAAATTTAGTGGAAATTGTTTCAAACCCATGTTTTTGAATAACGATATATTCCTAGCTGTGCTCAGTGGTGGATGCTGCCAAAAGCTGGTGGTGTCACAATATCATAGAATCATAGAAATATCTTTCTGCTTTGCGATAAATGCTGCTATTTTGTCCTCGCAACTCCAGAAGTCTTACTCGTACTAGGGAACCCTGGAGTTTTGGATATATGAATTAACGACTGGTGATTCTCAGAGGCTGCCTCACTAGATCCGTTTCCTCTGCATGAATGCAGTGCCAGAAGCTGACAGTGAAGGAAGGCCTGTTCCAACATCTGTAGGCATTTATTTTACAAAGGTCATAATTAAAGTAACTTTTAATTCTTCCAAAATGCACTGGTATTCCAAAGTGATTGGTTAAAGTTATGGTGTTGTCTGAAGTGGGAGGCATCACACTTGGTAGATCCCCGTTGCAATATTTCAGGAGGCGAGCTTATGTGATCATGTCTGCTGACCTGTCGTACCCTGATTGCTTGGAATGTGTTTATTTTTGGCATATTGGAAGGTGGCAAAACTTAAAGCCACCTTAACTTTAAGCACACCTTAAGTGGTATTTCTACAACTTCTGCGTTTGTGGTTTTCATACTCATCAGGATATAACTGTTTTTTAAATACTTTAATTTTAAAAAGGTCATTTGAAATAAACTGTTTTTTAAATACTCTCTTACAGGACCTAGCAACAATGGTTGAGCAACTGGTGAGGTTCTTAGGAGTTTCTTATGACAAAGCACAGTTGGAATCCATGGTGGAACACTGCCATCAACTCATTGATCAGTGCTGTAATGCAGAAGCACTTCCTGTTGGCAGGGGTATGTTTAAAATCCACAGTAAATCTCTTATTGTGGAAATCGCAAGAAGCAACTTATAACTTAGTAACCTCCAGAATGTGTTAAGAAGTTGGCAAAATATTACTGTGTAAATGATGGGAGGTAACTGACTGGCCGTGCAATTCAGGGGTTGGTTTGTTTTGAAATAAAGTTAGGTGGAAACATCAAAGATCAACAGCATATATTCAACACCATGCAAAGCACTCTGTTAGTGTTGGCTTAATTCACCAAGTTGACCTATTCATGTTGAGAAGACTGCACTGCTCCTTCTGACCTCTGGCACGCCAAAGCCTGCACAATTTCATACGGTTTATCCTGGCTTAAGCCCTTCTGTTTAAGTGTATCTCATTTTCTAGAATAGGAGATAATAACAAGGAAGTCTAGTTTTCCTTGCGAGCTTTTCCTTTTCATTGTCTGCCTCAGCTGTTTAAAATATGTTTAGCTTCTCGATGTTTATTCTGGCTGAGTTCTTTCTCTCGGAACCTGAAGTGCTCTTTAAACTGCTGATAGATCTCTCATTTGATAATGTCAAGAAATCAAGCCCTTTCTCAGTCTTCCTTGTGCTAAGCATAGAAGAGTGACCTTAGTAAGTCTCCCTCAAATTATTTTCTGTAGGCTGCTTTACAGCACTTAACAGTTCTTTTTGAAAATGAGGCCATAAGAGCAAGATGGAGAATTCCTATGTCAGCATCACAAATACCTTATCCAGACATAAAACCACTTTATCCACTGATTTAATCCAGTTTTAACTGGAACTTTCTGTCTCCCTCTCCCTTGTTTGTCTATCCATGGCTGTATTAGCACCTTTTGCTACCACATCATATATGAAGTATGTGTTGTTTGTCATGACCACAAAGTCTTTACAGGGGAACTAATTTTCAGGTTCTCGTCTCTTGCTCAGAGAGCATGAACTGAATACTTTGTTCTTAGGTTTCCGTGTAGGAGCCCTTTCTGTACGACCTCTCTGAGTCAACCTTCTTGTTATCTGCAGGTTTTATCAGCTGTAATTTCTATTATTATTTTCAGATCTCTGATAAAAATGCCAAATATTGTTAGTCCTTCTTGATTGCTTATTTTGAGTTAGGCAGTTTCTTACTCATTTATCATGTGTTTTGTTGATGTTATATAGTTTTATTAAAACCCCACTAAAATCCCATGCCTTATGAAAGTCTATTGTATCTTTGCATTCACCTTTAATCAGTCCAACTGTAATCTTAACCAATGCTCAGTCAGGTTTATCTGAGAGGAAATTTGCTTTCATGTGAAAGCAGGTTCACCGCTATTCTATGCTGCCTTTGCGTCTTTCTTGGCAGAACCTTTTGCCAGTTTTCCATTATTCAGCTCAGACCATTATCAGAGTAACTGACCCGGGATAACGTGTCCTGTTTGTATGCTGGTACAAAAGTTTCAGAATGTCACATTTGGAAAAAAGCCAATCCTCACACCTTGCTTTTATCAGTGACCTTGCACAGCTGCTGTGAAGAGACTCTTGGTATGTTATATAGGGGCTACACACTCCAGTTTTTTATAGTTGGACTTGCAGTCCATGAGGATTCTATGGGGAGCTCTCTGTCGTAACTGGTTATGGCTGGTAAGACATCCTGAGGGCCATGGATAAAGTGTTCTATGCCAGTACAAAATTTTACAAATAATAGAGCCACGTTCTCTTCTGTTGACTTGCATGTAGCACAAAAAAACCTAGATTTGTTCCCAGCTTCCATGATCTAGAAATCCGTGTGGAGCAGCAGCACTGTTATGTGCTCTGCACCGCCCAGATCATCCCTCCTTGTCCTGTGAAAACCAGAAGGGTGGCTGTGAAAGAAAGGTGAGGCTGCAATACAAGAGGAAAGACAACGGAGCTGCTGGTGAGACCTTCCACAGGCAAAAAGGTCAACACCTGCCTCTGCTGGTCAGATCATCTCCATCCAGATAAACGGAGTGATGCCCGCTTTTGATGCGTGCCCTGTTCTGTATACTGTGTTAATGTTTGTTGTTCCATGGTGGAGTCTGCAAGCCCTCAGCCAAGGAGCAGAGCCTCTTATTTATACCATTTACAAATCTTTCAGAAAGAAGTCTCCATTTTGTAATAGAGAAGGAGTGGAGCTACAGCAGTTAATGTAATATTTTGTCATTTGTTCATTGTGTGCTTTTTATTGAAAATATCCTTATTTTGAATTTCTTTTGTTTGTTGTCTCTGGCTTTTATAATATTTTGTTACTTCAGAAGGGAGCTTCATTAGCAGCGCTTTGTTCTTTCTGTGTTTGTTTCTGTGACAAAGAATGGTGGCAGTAACATGAGTGCTTATTGTAATTCGTTTTGAATATTTTTAATTTGTCATTAGTTACATTTACTTTATTATTTTGCTTTATTTTAGTTCTTCATTTTTTTTCCTTTTAGCACATTGATCTTTACTCTGAAGATAACCCCGAGCTGCTGTGAAAGCAGAACAATGATTAGTTATGTTACTTGTATTTGACTCTTATCACATCATAATTTACACAGTTGCATGATTCAAATCATAAACCAGGTGGGTGACTTTTTGACAAGCTATCAATTCATATGGTAACAAAAAATATGTTACAAATAATCCGCTGTCTGTGTCCTGTATAAAACTTGTCATTTGTCTATACGTGTTGATAGGGAGATTCAGAAATGAAAGGCTTATCTTTCCCAAGCAGAGGAAGAAAATGTTTTATTACCGTTATCGAAAAGGAAATACAGGGTTGTATGTTTCATGCTGTACTTTATGCAATTACAGTTGCAACAGTGAAATTGAAACTAGTATCAAATGTTTGAGTGCAAGAGTTTTCTCAATGTTTTTTCGAAACAGGAGAAATTTGATGAAAACAATAAATGATGCATTTTCAGTCAGTTTTAGGTTCATTTGATCTTTGGATCCTGAAAACAAACCAGAACACTGTTACACCTTCAGGAATTATAGGAAACTCCTGATTTTATGAAATGGCCCTTGCCGCACATACGTCCTGTTAAAATGCAATTTGTAGATGGTTTAGACAGTTTTGTCTTTCGAGTCAGTTATAGAGTTGCTGCATAAAAGCAATGGTAATTAAATGAAATGGGTGTTCTTCTTATGCATCAAATGCATAATTAAGCTTCCTGCGTGTAGTTGTGTTCTTGCTGTTAACGATTAAACTCTCCGTTAGTAATGTCCCAATTCTCCTTTCATTTATTCTAGTTGAACAAGCCTGAATTTTGTCTTTATTTATATCCAGCATAAATGAGAAGAGAATTGGGCATCTCAGTCTGATTACCCCACGGGGTTTTTCACCAACAAGTAACACTGGCCGACTTTGAGTTAAATTTGGACTGCAGTGAAACAGTGGTTAAGGGGTGTCAGCCTTTCACTGGCCCCTTTCATCAGCCTTTCACCAGCCTTTCACTGGTGGGGTCCGCAGTGTCCTCAGGTTATGTTACTAGTTGGGTTCATTAGAGTAAAAGAATACTCCATACAAGAACAGAATGTTCAGTGTCCATATTGCATCCACCAAAAGCTTCCTATTCCTCATGTACAAAATTACAATTTAAATGGCACAAACTGGGTGCATGGCACTTGTTCTCTTCTACAGATACAATCTAGGCACTCGTATTTGACAATTCTCTCCATATTGAGAAATGTAAATTTATCTATTGAACTTAACCTTTAAACATGAAATAATAGAAAATAGTAATGGTAGTATTATTGAATTCTGATTATTGAGATATAATCAGTTAAATACTCCACATTCCATGTACCTTTTGGATAGTTCTCTGACCAGCATATGCTGAAATGTGTTATTGTTAGATCTTGAAATTATTAAACAGCCATAGGCTGCACTGAAATCAGAAATCCACTTTTAAATGAATACTCAGAAATCTGTGTTCATTTCTGACAAAGGCTGGAGCAAAATCTCACAAAAATCTGAACTCGGCTGGTGCAGATGACCAGTTGTATTGTTATTTTAAGGCTTTCCAAGGGTTGTAGCAGGGCAATTGGGTAAGACAATGAACAGCCTTAAGTCTCACTGAGCTTTCAGCGAAAACTAAGACTGATTAGCATCTCACAGTTGATATTTGGTGCCCTGCATTATTAGACTGTAGATATTTGGTGTCCTGTTACGTCATCTCTCTGACTTGTGTTCCTTCTCTGTGTTTCAGGACGAGTTGGGCTATGGAAAGACATCTTCACTGTTTCAATGAATGAGAAATTTGATTTAGTTTATAAACAGAAGATGGGAAAATGTGACCTCACATTTGATTTTTATTTATAAAAACCGCATGCGTATGGTATCCAAATATATCTAGAAGTGCTTTATGCATTCATTTATTACCTGCTGGACAAACTACTGTAGCTATTATGTGTAACGATTAAAAAAAAGAAAAACAATCTAAGTAAACCGTATCAGATACAGTTATCTTTCATCCTAAACAGCTGTTTATCTTCTGGTATTTAATCCTTTGTCCATATGCAAGAACTTGCCAGACAATACTAGAATATTCAGCTGTCATGGAATGTATTATATACGTATAAGGTATGTATCATATATGCAAACAGAATGTACACCTTTTCAGCCCCACATTGATTATTTAATGTGTTTTATAAAAGCTTTTCACTAGAACCTAAATAAACATCCATAAACCAAATAAAAAATTATTTCAGAGGGAAACAAGTAACAGGCCAAAACTGTATGCTAGAATGATCTCAGGGGTTAATTGTCACATTTATTTTTATAGCAGGTATTTCAAGTATAAATAAATCCCATTCCAAAATAGTAACTGATCAAAGTGGGGTTCACATTACGTTCTGCACACCCTTATCTGTATCGTTTGAGTAGGTTCTGTGCACTGGCATATTCTGCAAGACAGGCCTTGTTGTGAAATACAGCTGTGATTGTTGCTCTAATCCCCAAACCCATCCCTGCTTTCCAGGATGACAGCACACGGCTGTCCTCCTGACACATGATGTTCTGCTCCCTGCCAAAGGTCGGCAAACTGAAGCTTCTTAAGCCCCCAACTCTAATTTTGTTCCTCAAAATGGGTCTTGAGAGCAAGGAGACCAGTGCAGGATCTTGAGGAATTGGAGTCTCTGGCCTGTATCACTTCCCCTTGCAGATAGGAGTTTCACCCGTTAGATAACAGTAAGAGAAGAGAAGGTGCTGGATATCCTCCAATTTCACTAAAAGTTAAGGGTGCTTAGCTTACGGTTTGTGCTACCAGATTCCACCAGACCTAAGCGTACGATGAGTACGGGTTGTCAGCGCAAGCAGGTAGAGGAAACGGCAGCACTGAAGTAAGAGAGTTTAAAAACGTGCCACTAGGTGGGAGTATTGCACAAATATTCATGCAGAATACAGTTGTAGTAATTGTTAGCCATGGCTGGTCTGGATTACAGTCAGGATTCCAGTTTATTTCTGTATCTTTTATTCTCTATTACAGGTATACAAACAGCCTGAAGCAGGCTACAATCACTGTAAAGCTCCAGAATTATTTTACTGTTCCGTTTGATAATGACATCTATGCTTTTTAGGTTCTCGGCTGCAGGAGGCCCATGTTTGCTAGTGAAATATTCAGGCTCACCAAAAGCCATGAGGAAGGACTAGCAGGTTTTTAGTGTTTCAGTTCTGTTGGGAAACTAACTGTCAGTTCAGCAACTGGCAAGTGGTGTAGCATGATGTGGCTTGACAGCACTTTTCCTTGTATATTTGTGAGTGAAAATGCTTTCAGTGAGATTTTATTTCTATTTTTATATTTTTAGTACTGTATCAATATTAAGCACTACACATTATACTTTTGTGCTTGCTTGCTTATTGAATAAAAGATGTGTTCCATGAATTGTGGTTTGCTCATTTTCTAGATCTCTTACTCGGCCCAGGTAGTCTTTGCACAAGCTGCAGGTCCTCTCCCATACCCACACCTCCTGCCTTAAGACGGCATCAACTGAGCTGACCATCTGACCCAATGAGCTGTCTCTGACAGCAGCCCTTAATGAATGCCTGTGTGAGAGTATGATAGGGAGCACAGGACTCTGAACATCCTTGTGTTTACAGCCCTCTACAGGGCTTTCTTCCCCTTGTGCTGGTATTGATGGCATCCCGTGGCACAAGGTCTTCATCTAAATACATGATGTATTAAAAAGGACTCATTTTGGTTAGAGACTGCCACCAGATAGCGTGATTTGGTGTTCCTTTCTTTGTGCATTATGACACATGATACATAGTCACTGTTCAGTGCACGCAAGATTTTACACACGTGTATCTTGCACCTGTTTGGCAACTCTATGCTGAAGAATCCTACTGAGCTCTCCTACAGAAGACCAGAACTTGTATTACAATAAGGTGCAAGAAAATGGAGTAGGAGAATTCCTTCTCGCTACAGAGGGAAGACAAAATCTCCCCACAGTTCCTGCAGATTAGAGTCAGAAGAATATTTCATTAGTACCAAAAAAACTACTTAAATCACATAATCCTGAGGCTGTATGAGCCATACATCTTTATTGACTGCCTAAAAGGCTTCTCACGTTTCCAAAGACACCAGAGAATCTTACTCCCAGTCTCAGGCACAGCCTGTTTCCTTCACTAGAGCAGATCGCCACCCCCACCCCCACCCCCCCCAAGCCAAAAATGTTCTAAGGACACATTTTTAACAACCAGGTGTATACACATGTGCCATTGCCAAACAGCCTGTGCAGAGGACCCCCAGCTGCCAGGCTGGAGGGGGAACTGCTTGTCCGAAAACGCTTTCCTTATCAGAGAGAGTAATAGCCTCTGTGACAATCTGTTGTGTGCCTTCTGCAGCACGGGTACTTAGTGTTTTACACAACAAAGTTGCTGTGTGCCAACAATCTGCTTTCTAGGACCAGAAGGACTATCTTCAGCCAGAGCTATTCTTTCCTTCCCTTCGACTGTTGCCTCCTGCAATGTCAGGTGAAATTAATCCAAGAATCAAAAGTTTGGTCAAAGCCCATTGCCACATAATCCATGCTGAAATTCTACCTTTGAATCTCTGGTCCTTGAAAGCATTTCAGTCTTTCTATTAAAATCCATAGGTAGTAAGCTCCTTCCTATTTTGACAAATTGAACTTACAGGACTTGGTCAAATGTCATAGAACCATAGAATGGCCTAGGCTGGAAGGGACCTTAGAGGTCATCACTGCAACTCGCTCTATACACAGACACCCCTTGGTCAAGTATGGAGAGAATGCCTCATTGATAAAACTGCACTGCAAAAAAAGAACAAAAACACCAGAAAACCAAGAGGATGATTTATTTTTTTTTCTCCCCTCAGCTTCCACATTTGGTGAGCTGCTTCTGCTGAGGTAACTGCTGCAAAGTTAGCGCGCTAAGTGAGATTTCTCATAGTTGGCAGCTGGCAGTCCTTTTAGTGATGAAAAACTGCAAGGCACGGGGAGGATCTGGATGGCTTCACTGCAGTGCTATTTCAAATCACCAACAGGCATCCCCCCCTTCCCATAAAGTACCGAGTACCCTCACAGTTTTTCACGGTTTCATATACAAAAGGTTGAAGCGTTCGTTGCAGTGAAATTGGGTGGTAAAGAGGAAAGACAAGAAAGCTAATGAGTAACCACGAAAGATTCTCAGCACTTTTATACGAGCACCACAACACAACATGGCACCAATGATTCTGGTGATAATTATAAAGATTTATAGGCTTGAGTCACCATTATTATAAGCTATTCAGTCTTGCCCAGGCTATAAATAATGCCACTTAGTAGCTACCAGCAGAGCTTTAGAGAGAGGATTAAGAACAGCATTTTCCTCTTCAGTCAAAAGAAAAAGACTAAGCAGAAATTCGACTGAATCAAATAATAATAACAAAAAATTCTCAAAGCCAGTGACCACACCCATAGGAAGACAGTACAGAAATGATGATATGTAATCTCACTACATAATCCATTTGATTTCTGTACCGCAGGATCTGCAGACTGGTGTCCTCTAGTGTCTGAATCATAAAACATGCAGATGAGTATTTTCCGCTACCTATCATGGTGTGTATCACGCAGGTAGAACAGAAATAATTGCAGCCAATAATCAGCTTCATTCTGGCAGCAGAAAGAGAGTCTGCAAAAATGAGCACCTTCATTTAAAAATAACATATACTCAGATTTTGGCATAATGAGGTTTAAACCTCAAGTGCCAAGTGATACTCCAGTAAAAACTGCTGTTCTATCCTCAGGGAATGGCAAGGAAGTCTGACAACACTGACACCACTCTGCCCTGGTCTACCTGCAAATAAATTGCCCCTCTGAAAGATGGCAGGGCAATGGCAATTTTGCAGGCAGACTGGAGCAATGCCTCTTGCCAGCTCTTGGGCTTGGATCGTACGTTAGGTGCATGTAACATCCAGTGTCCTGAAATTGGCTCAGGTTTTTTCCTGGTCTTTAAAATTTTCTGGTCTTTAAAAATGAGTGCAAGAGAGGTTTACTAAAATGCAGGGCAATTTTCTGGGCTTTACGTCCCCAACATGTGGCCATTACTATTAGCAGTGTGGGACTCCCTACTGTAAATTGGTTTTAGGAATAGTGAAGCTGTTTATGCCAATCAAATAGGGGAGAAAGAGAATCCTTTGTACTCCCTGGCTATTGCAGGAACACACACAAGGTTCTTTTGGTAAGCTGTACTGTGCCCATATAATTTTTTCTAGATTCAATCAATGGGTAAAATTGTACAGCTACGCAACAACTTCTGCTGGAGTTTTCTCACTGTGCACAGATGACAAGCCCTGGCAACACATGCTAGAGCAGTTTTTGAAGGTACCACCTCCAGCTGTCCACTCTGCCTCTCTGCCAGGAACGGCCACCACAGAGGAGAGACAGCAGAAGCAACTGTGTGCTGGCTCCTCAAGCTGCTGTAATTTACAGGCTGGCATGATAACTTAAACTGATAGGGATGGCGGTTTCAGATAATAGGCTGATTTGTGAACTGCAACTCCAAGGAGCCAAAGCATGTCCTTGGGTACTGCCCTGGCTTGGAGGTGATCTCCCAAGTTCACGTCAGAGCTCTTCTGAAACACTCTGCAACGGGCCAAATGTAGTCTCTACTTGGGAACAGACCATTTCACATACGGACCGAGTTTCACCTGTGAAAGACAATCTATAAAGGTGGAATCGCATCCTTCAGCAAGAAGGAGAGGCAGATCCACGCTGCCACATGGAGTGAACTAACTAAAACCTACTTTTGGAAGGAATATTGTTTTGTAGGAGGGAGTGCTGCAGTAAGACATGCTGTGTGACAGCATGCAAGATGCAGAAAGAACAGTAGCGTAGTGGCAGCTGACTGCTTAGACTGATTCCAATTGCAATCACTAATACGCCGACTCGCTTGATATGTGTGGTGTGAGTGATATTCAAAGTAACTGCCACCCAGACGCTAAATTCACTGTCACCATCTCTGTCACATACTCAGCTTTTGCCAGCACTGAACATAAGACGACAATTTAATCCTCACACACAGATAACAGTAGCACAGCTGGTATAACAGTGTGCTAAGACTTCAGCCCTCGCAGGCCTTACATCTGCTT